ATATTCTGAAAGCGGCATTAATTGCACAGGTTAAACCTTGACTTGATATTATGAATTGAGGTGTAAAACAAAGCACCTAGATTATACACAACCGCCTAGAGTTCATTCAGTTGCAGTTGTTGTTCAGTAATTCCCTATGCTAATTTGTGTCTGATAATCGCGAGCGTGTTAGTTATTGTGGTGTCGTTTGCTGCTGACGAGGAAAACGAGACATGACTGAAAGTTTAAGTAATTTTAGCTTGAAAACAGTAAGAAAGAAGTGGTAAAAATAACAAAATCGAAAAATAAAATGGGTTTGAAAAAGTGGACAGCCCTCAAAGGTTTCGCGGTTCCAGCTTAAGCCTGCGAAATTTGATTAATATGTGGTACCGTAATTTTTTTTAACAATGCTGGTATCTCACTTTCTTGTTTTAACATGTTTTTGATGATCAGTTCGTTGGCTTAACGATAAGGCTCTGGTTTTAAGTTCGCATGGCTGATGGAATCGCTTGTTCTGCTTTCGACATGGTGGAGAAGAATTTTCCAGCGATTAAAACAACGCCAGAAGAGGTATGTGATTGTCCACAGACAATGTTTACGCATGACACTGCCAATTTTCTCTGTTATCAAATGATTCAAAACGCACAGCGATATGAATGCCCGCGTACCCGTTGTGTACCTCGTACGCTCATGCACAAACAAATTAGGGTATCATAATATCCTAGTTCCTCGCAGGCTATCTACTTGTTACTTCGTTATCGGGTGCATTAAAGGACAGTGAGGTGAATTAAGTGAATTACTTGCTAAAGTGCATTTGCAGTTAATGATAAAAGTTCACACTGTACTTGAGATTTGATTGGCGCCTGTGGTAGACAAAGCCGAGCGACTTTTTGCTATGCCACCAACCTCCGTCATGCACTTGAAAAACGGCAATATAGGGTAATTCTAGTGCTTGTTAGCCATGATTAAATCAGACTTTAATACATACTTCGAAAGTCGTGAATGTTTAGCGTTGAAGGTACCAAGTTTTACCTGGTGTGAAGTATATATATAGAAATTTAATGAAACAGCCTGCTGTTGATCATTGCTTCCCGTATTCGAGGTTTGAAATTCAAGTGCATTCAGTGTTTAGAGTTAAGTCTGCAAACAAACACCAGAGTGTATCGGACTATAGGAAATGTCGCAAATGCTTCTCACATAAGTCATTAGTTCGTTACTGATACCTGGTGTTCAAGTAAGGCTATGGGGTGGGGGGAGCGTTTAGTCTGATTCGGACGTTGCCATCGGTTGTGTGTTTAATTTCTGACTGATTGAGTTTGTTACCATTTATGTCAGTTACCTTTCTTGAGTGCGACGATGTTGCCGTTATCTTTCTTTGACTGCTGTAATATATGCGTTTACTGAACATTGGTAGCCTTCCGGATTTGTAAGTTTCCTCACTGACCCTTCTAGACATAAAGATATTTTTTGTCCTCTAGATTACTATCACCTCTTTAGCCGTTTTGTTTTCGAGTTGATTAAGCGCCTTCATTGTTACAATTTTCCTAATGGCTTGGATATAGGTTTTTGCTATGTTTTTTATGGTATATGATCCCATAAGTTTCGTCATTGTCTGTTCTGTATAACCTTGGCGCAGATACTTGAATGTCACTCATTGAGCAATTTTCTGCTTCTGCTGTGGTTAGTTAGGCCCATGAAAAAACGAAGTCGTATGGTCACGCAACTGTAAAACATCGCCATCATTATATTTTTTTAAAGAAGCGTTGTTTTTCTGAAGCTGCGTTGTATTTAACGTCATTTTTATTCTGAGAGATTAGAACTACATCGGTTGAATCATGTTTTCAGAGTTGAGTTTTCTGTTGTTCCGCCTTTGAATACCTAGTTAGCGGCAATGAAAAACCCTATGTTTATATATTTGCGACGATTCTCATTTTTCTTCATATTATTGTTTTAGGCAAAACACATTTGTCAGTATCTGTATCAGGAGAAACCGTTAATCAAAGCGGGCGTTGACTATGCAGTTACAGTGAAGGATTTGGCTTCCAAAATGGTAATGTTCGGTAGTCTCCTGACCTTCGTTCGTGTTTTATTGTCATGTGAACCCCAAGCTGCAGTATTTCATTTTGTTTGCTTATTTCAGATTTATTCGAGATTTGAGTTGGTAATCTCATCGTGTTAGCTATGTTCGATGATCAGTGGTGTGTCTTTTTTTGTTGTTTCCTAGTAAAAGACAGCTGTAGATTTTGTCAGTGACTAAATTAATGCTTGACAGTTCTGATCATGTGTCAGTGGCGATTGTGACAGTAGAGAGAAGAGCAATGCTTAAGGCAAAATTAACTTTAAGGCTGCACAGATATTGGCTAAAGGATGTTAGTAGTTTATATTTTTGCTTTGTTGGTAAATATAGGTGGTTTTCAGAAAGGTTTCACTACGTTGGAAATTATTTTCAGCTTGTTTGAGGGAGTTGACTTTTACTGATGTGCGTTAGTCCTTTCATTAAATAGGTTTCGACGGTTCTTATCCGTTTTCCATGCGATACGCGAGAGAAAGCTGAAGAGCTGGTTCACGTTGCTTTCCGACAGACAGCTGTTGCGTTTCAAATGGTAGCATAATTTTTACCACTAACGCATGCGGATTCACTATTAATGAGTGTTTAAGATGAATACGATAGTATCGTCGACCGTCGTTGCGACATCTACTTCCGTGCACACGGTTACTTCTCAAGCTTCGAAATTGGCCTCTGAGGTGCTGAAGTTTTGGGATACCACTCACGTAAAGATCTGGCTAGTTTTCCTTTTTCGAGACTGATCTTGGCAGTCGATTTTCAGGTGAACCTGTCGATTCTGTACTCGGTGCAGCTGTTTGCGTCCTATTCGGATCTACTATTCCAACGCGTAACAGGTCTTTGCAGTCCGTTGCTTCCGGTTACTGCGCAGAAGTCTCTGGTTAAAGCATCGTCCTTGATTTCAAACTACAGCGATACCGTAATGAAGGTAGGGATGGTAGTGCTACGATCCTCACTTGGTAAACGAATGGCCATTGTATGAATGCGGTTAGTTTTTTAGGCAAAATCACTAACCGAGCTGAAAGTGGAAGTTTTCGCACAGGCATCGAACGCGCTGGAAACTGTTCATCACGTGTTTATGGAAGCGGTAGATGTTGTTTCCGAGTACCCGCCGTTGAACTCGCTGGTAGGTTACTACTGTTACTGGGGTTCAGTACTGTTCTGTGTCGAACATTTCATGTCGTTTAGCTAGCCTTCTGATTGTTATTGGTCTTCGTCGTATTCTGCCATGCGAGTTTGGACAGCGGTTAATTGAGGCTAATGTGTAATGCTGTGTTAATCTCATAAAGCTACTTCTCCGGTTGTGCAATTGATTTTCCTTCGCTTTCCGTTTAATACAGTTTGTTCCAACCAAAAGAAACTTAGTCGCAGTTGTTTTTTAGGATAGACTGGCATTTTTGCTTCTGAATGTAGTGGTGCCCAGTGGTCTTATGGATATTCTATTAAGTGCTTTCTTGGTTGTACAGTTTTGGATGAATTTCGAAGTGACGCGCAGGTCGTCGAATTCACAGCTGAGACTGTTAGGGTTGTTGAGTTTTGCCAGTTCCTATGATCAGTGACCTCATTTCCGCTACAGCGTGTTGCACACCTCTTTTTGTACAGATTCAGCATTCAGACTTTTTGCCTTTTTGCTTTCCGTCTGTTGTGTTTTGATCAGTGCTGATCTTGAAATTAGTGTTCGATGAACGTTTCGTGTTATCAGCTCCTGCAGTTTATCAGCAGGATGTTAGTTCACTGCATGACAGCCGGACGCTTTAACTGTTGCCTAGTAGGTGTATTACCTGGACATTAAGAAATATAAGAATGACATGACGGTTGTGAAAAGTCCAATACGAAAAATTATTTCTTCATTTGAACTTTAGAAACCAGACGAAAGCATCCGAAGTACGAATTCTTTCCTTCTTATGGAGAGACATAACACCGTTAGCCTCCAAAATCACAAGCTGTTGTAAAGCGCTATCGCACTAAATCGAAAATAGTTAAATAGGGTAAAGAGAAAGTAGAAAATTGGAAGCAAAATCGGATTGAGTAGTTTATTCGAGACAGTAGCATTTGATCTGAGTTTAAGCCTGGAGTTACTGAGAGATCGTTGAAACGTCGATCTTTGACTTTTCCACCGTGCAGGATTATTTTTACCAGTGGTAGTTGCAGCGTGACTCAATCGATGCACGATGTTGGCACTCCACCTGGAGGAAGTCAGCCAAGAAATTTCTCACGTATCTTCTCCGGATGTCATGCGAAGCATGATTAAGTTACAACATATTTAATGGTGGTGTCACTGTCGTTGAAAGTTCGTGACTGTTTTCTCGATATTTTTTTTTCGCGATCTAGTGGCCATTTTTGTTTTGCCTAATATGGAAGATAATTTTGTTTATTAGTTCAAAATTATTTTGTTATTCAAAAACTTTAAAAAAAGGTAAAATAACTTATAACGATAAAATTCAATTCTCTATAAAGCGTTAAAATAAAGTGTTTCGTATTTTAGCAAAAAGGGAGTATTTTAATGCGTCAATTGTCGCACTGAAAAGAGCATAGAACATGGTTTATTTTTGCACGCCGCAGTTTTAGCAATTGAGTGAATGACTAGTACCTCGTTTAGGCCGGTGTCTCACGGTCATTTTTCAAAGTTGACAGGTTTCGGAAGTCTTTTTTATCCTTCGCAGCGGCTCGTACGTTCAGAGCAAGAGGGTTTTTTCAGTGGTCTCAGACTAAGTCAGCATTGACTGCACTCAAATAATCATCGTTTACTAGTCACCTGTTCGCTCTAACTTTTGCATTTCGAGGCAGTACGTTTAATTTTTTTATGGTGAACGAGTTTTCGCATAGTTTCAAAATGAGTGAGTTTTACGTTAAGTACGTCATATCAACTAGGTTGCATAAATGAGACCCTTCGTATTTGGGCCAGCGTTAATCGATATCTGTTCCACATTCTCTGAGACTCGATCACTTAGCTTCAGCTTCGCATTTCTCTCTACATGTAAATGGTTTAGACAAATGTGGTCGCAGTTCTTTGGCGCTGCAAAGACATTTTGCATTTTGTTTGATGCCTTTTTATTCCTTCGGTGTACATTCGACAGCAATTTTCGAAATAATTCTTGTGCTACCAGTGATTTGGGTACGATAATTTAACGCAACAGATATCTGAGAAGAGCGTCTTAGCGCGCGTTATTTAATCTCTACTTTCAATAGTTTTAAACAGCGCTTGACTATGGAACTTTTCCGAAAATCGAGAACACTCTTTGAAGTGGTGAACGTTTACCGAATTGCTACAAAGTAACAAGATTGCGCGTCTAAGTTTAATACCAGTTAACTTCCAGATTATTACAAAACTTAAAATGATATCAAACAGCTTTTGAAAATTTTCGTAAACAGATTGACGGTTGGAGCTATTTAATGAAGTCCTTCATTTGCTAATCAGAATGTCTTGATTTATTTGGAATATCTGTATATCAATTACAGCAGCAGAAAAAGTTACGTTTAAACGCTTGGCATGATTCATAGCAGGGCACTTCTAAGTATCATCGCCTGAGCCGTTTATTTTCTAAATTTAGAAATCATGATTTTGATATTTTTAGCCATTATTCGGATTGTCAGGGGAAAACTTTGCATAACGCATTCATTTAGCAAAACCACATGACAGACGACCAGTGGGTACACCGGAAGCAATGAACCCCGGGCCATGACGCACCTCAAAATCCATAGTTGAACGTGGAGTTTGCTCGATAAATGAAACGTTGCTTTCTGATGCCGCCCTAACGCACTCCAGAACGAATAGCAAGCTTTTAGAATGAACAGATCGGAAAATGATATTCTTTTCCTGTAGGCAGTTCTTTCATTATTTAATAACCTGATAGGATGAGTCATATTTAGTTGAGTTGCATGGCGCTACTGCACCGAATTATTCATTACTACACGTTAAAGCTGAAATACCGTGGAACCGCGGCCTGCTTAACTGGCGGCGCAGACATTTAGAAGCGAAGTGATCGTACGACGAGAAACCCATCTGTATGAGAACTATGTTTATACCATTTGTTGCCGTATGAACTCATGCTTTCACTTCAAAAGAGACAGCAAATGGAAGTTTCAAATAAATTGCGCTAGTTGAAATAAAACGACCCTGATATTCTGAGGCGGCTTCTAAGAGTGGGAGCTTCCGCACATAAATGATACAAACGGTTAGGAAATTGGATTGAAAAGGCAAAAATGTACAGAGTAAAGAAGAGAAATTTATTTCTTACTTTGCACTGACACTGCGTTTGTGAGATAGATGGAAGTCTTACCGCAGTATTGCACCACCCTTGCTTCTAGTCGCGTAGTAGGGCATTTAAACAGACCTCGGCCTCATGGTATTTAAGCGCCTGCAGTGCATAAGACGTCCCCCGCGTCTTTTAGTTGGGTTGAACAAGGGCAGTTCAACCCCAAGCACGGTAGCTGTCCGTATTGGTATTGGACGGGTTGGAGTTATTATTTTAACTATTCTGAAATTGTCGATAAACTTCCACTCATTCGTAATAATAGCTTCATTGTCCTCTGCAGAATTTTGAAAGGAAGTGATCTGCAAAACTATTCCACATGGCGTTTTAATCCGCCGTGTTCATACGTATCTTCGCTCTTGTTGTCGAGCGAGGTGGCACCAGTGGACGGAATACGACGATCTCCGTTATTTATTGCGTTGTTTTCCTGTTCCTTATAAGGTGAATTGCAATTATAGATTCACATGCACAAGGCCTGATTCTGCTTTTTCGTTGTTCCAAGATACCAAATCTGCGATGTCGACTTTGGTTTGAAGCTCATGACTTTTCATTGCTCAATAGTTTTTTAACATATTTTGATTTGAATTTGAAATCATTTTGACTCTGCTTTTGCTTAATTATTAGCACTAATAAAAATCAGAATGCTAGCTTTGCGAACATGATTGTCGTAAATTAATTTCATCACTACTTATACAGGGTATCAGCCTGGAGGGCACCGTATTTGACTCGGACGTGTTAGTGATCGATCGCGATCTGCGACTGCCGGAACCGCTGTCGCCGGTTCTTCCCATAATTGAACCGCGACTGCCGATCGATGCACAGATGGGTTAACGATAGTTTCTTAATTGTCAGCTTTATCTTATTAGTTTTTTCTGTTAGCGTTTTTGCTATTTCAGTTTTTCACGGAATATAATTAACCCGTAAGTTTCGCTATGCGTAGTCGTTTTCCTGTTTTATTCGGTTGTGTTGTAGAGCGATCGATCGCCACTTAGAATGGGGCAATAAAGTACAGTGACAAAAGGCTGAATAACTTAACTATTCTGCGCTGTCTGACTGAAACGCGTAGAACTATATTTTTCGTAAAAATTCCGCACTCAGTTTCAAAACAAACAGCCGAAATAATACCTTTTTCTAGTTGCACCTAATTTGACTACGACATTGTGAATACAAAATGACTTAACATTAAGTAACGTGATAAACGTACAAATGGCAGAGGCGTAGCATGATTTCGCCACGAATACTGACGACAGGCAAAACTGTACCATTGAGTTACGGAGCAGTCAGAAAGAAATTCTGTCACCAATAGATGTTAAGGAATCATACGCCGATAAAACAAAGCAATGGCCATACTAAAATGCTACTCTTCACGAAGATACTTCAACATGCCATGCTATAGAAACAAACCGAAAAGTCAGAGCTTCAGTAAAATTTTCAGCAAGCCGTCGAATTAACACCATCAGCACTTTTTGGTCATATATGAAACAGCAGACGATGAAAGGTTTCTACAATTTGGAAACGGAATGGGTGAATGACTAAACTACAGAATATGTATTCGAGAAGTTCTAAGAGAACGAGATCTTTTTCTCGTCTGATATTCCTTTCAGGTTAGGAGCAAAGCTTAAGGAAGTTTTTACGGTGCTTGCGGTTTTTTGCCAGTTACTTAGGTTTCACATTGTGACGACCATGAATTAGAAGAAGTTCTTAAGCTAGCTGATTATGTTAAATTCGAAACATTAACAGAGAAGACATGACGGATGTTTTGAAACTGCCTCGTAGAGATCACAACTGAAGCATACAGGAAACAAGCAAAGATAGAGAAATAGAATGTGCACAGCAACCTAAAGATTCAAACAGCCTAACAAAATTTAACAAAGCAGTGGGAACCGAAGGAAGGAGAATAAAGTATCTGTCAAAGCAAGACCATTAACAGAATGTGAACAGGATACATCGGTAATGTTGCGTGCATATAAGAAACAATTATAGTGCGCAGCCGAAAACGAAATATTCGTAACCAATCACTAGGACGTTCCCAGAGGCTTGTGTATATGTATCTTATTTAGGGTGCTCAGTTTAACGGGGGTTTGCTGTTTGACTCAAGTAATACCATTTCACTCCTC